AAGTCGTGATTTTAACAACTCGAGTCTGACTCGAGTCCAAGTCATGTGACTCGAGTCCCCACCTCTGGCAAGGAGCCTTGAAATTAATTTGTATCTTGTTGCAGTACAATAATCCATTTGGAAAATTAGGTGGGGTGGGGGAGAGTACATTTAATTAGAGAAACTATATATAAAGGGTGGATATCCTTTAAAAGAAAAATACTTTAAATTCATTTAAAAAATGTAATTTGATCTTACATACAATAACCACAGGTTTTAAACATTATCATGGCAGGACTATTTATTCTGGCATTTTCTCTGTAGTGTTGTTTTTTGCCAGGTAAAAGTTTTGATTGCATGCAGACATCTTCATTCTACTGACTCAAATTGGATGAGGCTACCGCTAACTAGCTTCTAATAACCTTACTAGTTACCTTTTTTTAACGTCTGTCATTGGTAAGTGTAAATTATTACCAGTTGGCTGGACGACATCCATCTTCGCCACTAACTCACTTCTGTTGCCAAACAGTTAGATGCTACAATCCCTTGGCACTATTGTATGTAAAATATGGAATTTTTCTTTTGTGCCTTTTTTTGTGATACAAGTCTTAAATTCTTAAATTTGAGCTGGTGAAACCTGCAGAATACTTTTTATTGGTCCGTTTTGACAGTAGGACAGCATTTGATCACGTGTCTCTGGATTTGTCTTTTTTTGCTGCAGTTGGAGCAGACTTGCCATGTTCATCTTACCCTTGAGGAGAAGTTCACCCAGGGCAGAGATGATGCCACCCAGCTCCGTCAACAGCACCAGCTCCTGATGAAGCAGCTTGATGAGGAAGCCAAGATGAAGACTCGCCTCCAGCTGGAGCTCCACAAGGCAGAGGGTCAGCTACGTTTTGCTAATTGAGTTTTTCTGAGAGCATTTCTTTGGTAATTCCTTTATTTTTTGAAATACTGGTTGTTGTTGTTGTTTTCAGGGCTTTTGGACGGCTACGTGGCTGAAAAAGCTGCCTTAGAGGAGTCCCTGCAGCAGAAGGAGGCTCAAGAAGAAAAGCTTGTCGGGGAGCTGGAGGGCCTGAAGGTGAAGCTGCATAAGATGCAGAGTCTCACCGCGGAGCTGGACGCCTTCAGAGGAAAGTATCAGGAGCTCACGGAGGAGCACACCATTGTCCTGCGCCAGAAGGAGCATCTCTCTGCTGGACTTGGGGAGAGAGAGAAAGGTGAGCAGAATCCATTCAAAATCACGATGGAATAAATTAAAATTTAAAATGTCATGAAATAATATTTCTGTAGCAAACTGTATCGCCTCTTTGAATCAGCCTTGACCATGCACTTGTATAATATCTGTGCTCAGATGTGCCATCTCTCCATTGGCCATTGGCTCAATTTAGATCCTGGTGCAGGTTTGTGGGTCAGAGTGGAGTGTGACTGTGTGTGTTTGAGTGGGGGGGGGGGGGGGGGGTTACTTTGCAGTGTAAGGTTGCGGTGCCATTTGCTGTTTCCTTCTTCTTTTAGCTCAGTATGTGTAACTGTGTGTATTAAAGCTGTATTGTTTCGTTTTCTGAGCTGCGTTTGAAGAGATTTGCGACCTTCACCCTTCCCCTTTTCGTTCTCTCCAAGCTTTGCTGGCAGAGGCGGAGCGTCTGACCCAGGACAGGCTGGACCTGCAGAGGCAGGCGGAAAAGGACCACAAGTCTCTCTCGCTGCGCCTCAGGAACCTGGAGAGAGAGCTCGAAGATCAGGAAACTAAACTCCTGGAGAAAGAGCTGCAGCACAAGAATCACTCTGAAGACCTCAGTCAGCGTGTCCAAGCGCTCGAGAAACAGCTGAAACACGATCGGCAGTTTATAGAGGTGAGCTTATAAACTGTAATGAAGCAGACCCTTTAATGTGAAGTAACATATTTCTTTGGCTCGTTCTTGAGTTTGAGTGTCGCATTTTCGCATCTCGGATCGTCTCTCACACGGTTTGTTTTGCTGTGTGCAGGAGCAGGCCGTGGAGCGGGAACATGAGCGAGACGAGTTCCAGCAGGAGATCCGCAGGCTGGAAGCCCAGCTCAGACACACAGGAAACGGAGACAACAAGGCACACAAGGTGAGAGCCGTTACCTCTGGTTTACCAAACTTTTACTCTTAATTTTCTTCTCCACGTTTCCGAAATCATCAGTTTGAAAAAGTGAATGTGTGACTCCCAATAAATAAGGAAGTAGATTGGTGGGATCATTAAATGTTGAATGACGCAAAGTGCGATCAGAGCCACAATCAGTGAAAATGGGGTGATGGGAGGCAATAAGTTCATGTTAAATAATGTCAGTAATAACAATGGGGAATATCCAGTTCAATATTAATGGGCACCAGTTGGAAGAAAAGTCTTCACATTTCTTTGGATTTTAATGCTAAACAATTAAGTCACTGATCATATTTGTAGGCATTAACCCACTTCAGAGTGTGAACGCCTACATACATCTATTCTTTGGGGTGTCAGTAGTTTCTTGTTTTGTTAGATTCTAATAAAACTGTAGAGATTAGATGTGAGCCTTTTTATGAATATGAATATCAAGAGAGAATGCAGTGATATGCAGTGGTCAAGTAGGGATTAAAAAAAAAAAAAAAAGTGAGACGTGCAGGAAACGGAGATAAAAATGGGCAACATGGTGAACTGAACCAAACACGATGTAGCTCAGTAATTGTAAATCTGCTCTAAATGCTCTTGAATCAAGGTTATTTTAACCCATTGCTGTGTGTTTGAATTGTTGTGTAACTAACAGAGATGAGCTTACAAAATCGTCAGTGTTTCCCAGCATAAATGCATAAAACGGAAATCCTACACTGAAGCGTAAACTTGTTTTTACGTTGTCAGTTTGTGCTTCCCACGTATAATTTTTTTATAATTTTCCCAGCAGGGACACAAATCAGTTAATTGAATTATTGATGCTGTAATTTGATTGCCAATGAGCCTGACTGTTGCTATGTGCTTATCCCTGTGCTGAATGGATTGCTGTAGTTTGAAGACTTGCTGCTGCAGGTATGGAATCTGTCGTGTCATTTTTCATTGCTCCTCTGACACTTGTGCATAACTTTCCCTGTTTCTCTGTAATCATCTGTAGTCTCTTTAACTGCGTTTGTCATGAGTCCAGTATTCTTTACCATCATTCAATAGCAAATAGAATATTTCCGACCTCTTGGGGATGGTTTACCTTAAATCTCTTGATTGGCTGCAAATCTGGAATGGCTTTTATCACTTTTATTGCAAACCTTGTAGTTTTCCCTTTTTTAATTCTAACTTCTCTACAGAAAACTCCATATTTGAGTTGGGAAGAAAAAAAAAACTGTTCCTGTTATCACTGCAGGTGGAGAGCCTTCAATCTATGGTCAACGATAAAACGGACGACCATGCCTCATTACTTGAGGCCAATCAGCAAGCGCAGCGCGATCTGGCAGAACGCAACGAGGAGATAGACAAGCTAGCAGGACGGATCCGAGAGCTGGAACAAGCGCTGCTCAACAGCGCAGAAAGCGTCCGAACCGTCAACGAACTGGAGCAAGAGCTGCACAAAGCAAAGCAAAGGGAACAGGAGCTCACACAAGTAAGAGCTGCTAACACACTCCCAGATCAGTTCCAGTGTTGTGCAAGTATTTACATGCTGTGAGGGTTTTTTTTTTTTTTATTGGTTTGCCACCTTAAAACCACAAACGTTGATGTGTTTTGCTAAGGTTTTGTGTGCACAAAAGAACATGTTTGTGCTTAGCCTCCCAGACTGAATAATTTGAGAAAAACCTTTTTCTGCAAGTCTTTTTACATCTGAACCCATGAACTGAGCACTTTCCCTGTCCCTGCGGATAAAAAGCATATGCACAACATGATGCTGCCACCACCGTGTTTCACAATGAGGATGTTTTACAAGTTTCCCTTTTTGGAAACTTTTTTTTTTCTCTCCAAAAAGGGCACAAAAAAAAAGGTGCAATTTTTGTCTAATCAGACCAGAGCAACTTCTTGCACAAATTTGGCATGTGCTATTCATGAATTCTGACATAATGCAAGTAGGACTTTTTAATTTAAATATATATGTATTTAAAATGACTCGGACTGCACTAGATTTTATTCAGTGATGAGGGGTAATTACAAGTGCACTCCACACACTTCAGATTGACTCTGTCATATAAAATCCTAATATACTTTGTTACATGAAAATCAAAACCCTCAATTAATGAGTTTCAGGGTTTTGAATGGTTAAGTCGTTCCGTATGTCAGCAAACATGTTTTTCAATGATTCCCTCTTTTTTTTCCGATAAGGATAAGCTTGCTCTGGAGCAGCAGCAGCTGTCCAGCAGGCTCCAAATATCAGCTTTACAGTCCAAACTGGATGAGACGAGGCACTGTTACCATGACAACACCCGTGACCCCACCCAGGAGCTTAGGGATGCCGTGGATGCTGCCCAGCAAAACCTACACTGTAAAGAGCAAGAGGTCCGTCAGGCTCTGTGTAAAACCGTTTTGTCAATCATTTAGTCACCAGATTTGTTCGTTTGACTGCAGTGCCACCTTTTGGTTAAAATAGGAATGACGGAATATCCTCTGAAATGTATATATATATATATTTTTTTATCCATCGTCATTGTGTCTCGTAGGTCGAGGTCTTGCTTGGCCAGTTGGAAAACGTGCAAAGAGACTTGCACCAAAAAGAGGTCGAACTGAAACACCTCACAGCTCAGCTTGAACTACTGACGAATAAGCATGCGGCTCAAGTTGAAGAGCTTCAAAAGGAAATTTCTACCCTCAAGGTGAGAACTGTCTTGTTGTCATGTCAAATTATTTTCTTCTTTTTAATTGGAATTTTTCAAACTGTGTTGGATGCTCGACATGCATCATAAAATGAAAAACTTTCATCTTTTCCACCTTGGCAACTCGTATTGGAAGTGTAAGCAAAACCGCTGTGTTTGCCAGGAGACGATGTCTGCCCTCACTGAAGTAAATGAAGAAAAGGGACAAGTTCAGGTGGAAGAAAACGAGGAAGAGACGCTCCCCGCCGCGCTTCTTCAGGAGAAAAATCAGGAGATCGATCACCTGAACTGCGAGATCCAAAAACTCGAACAAGAGCTTGAGAGTGCAAGGGACGATCGAGTCGGAGTAAGCTTTCTGACAAGTTTCTCCAAAAGCTGTTTGGGTGCATTAAATTTAAACATTCGGCAGGGTTGTACGAATGCTTGAATTTCAGTTGGGTGTCTTCAAGGTTTGGAAAGTTATTGATTTCTGAATGAAGTTCTTGATATTCAACCTGCGTAGTTTTGTAATAAAGTGCAATCTAACGCTTGATTCAAAGCCTACATTTTGGAAAACATTTACAGTTGAATCCAGATATTTTCACCCACCTAATGAAAAGTCACAGACACATTTTTTCTCACCGTCTGAAATTAAATCAGGCCAAACTTGCCTTGTTTTTGGTTGATTAAAATTAACCAAAATTAGCTAAATGCCAGAAAACTTAGCAAGAACAATTTTGGACATTTGTTTGTAACTTGTAAAGTATAAGACACTTTATATTTTAGTTATTAATATCCGTGGATTTTTAAATTACTGTTTTAATTTCAAAACATTAAATTGTTATATTTAATGTTGTCCACACACGGCAGACCGACCATGGACAGACAGAAGGGGGTTTTTTTTTGGATTACGAATTCTTGAATTTCAGAAACGGTAGATTTTCAAAGAATGCATATTTTACTGAGTCATGATAATATCACGTTATTAATAACAGTAATCAATGTACAATGTAGGGGGGGGAAAGAGGGACAAACCCTGATTAGGAAATGTTTGCTTATTTTTCCCCCCCTTAAAGGTCCTGGAGGTTGAGCTGGAGGATCTGCGCTCTCAGGTGGAACATCTTCAGTCTGAAATCACGCGAGTGCGTCAGGAGAAGCAGGAAGAAGAGGAGCGGCTTCACGAGGTCATCAGCACGCTGCAGGCGGAGCTCGCCACCCTGGGTCCCAACCTGCACGAAGTCAGCGACTCCCAGGACGGCGACAGCATCAATCCCTCTCCCTCGCCCAGCCCGGAGCCGCACATGGAGACCCTCCAGGAGAGGAGGGGAGGTCCGAACAGCCTGAAGCACGAGATCAGCCTCACGCATTCTGCCGCCTCCTCGTCTCTTCGCTCTCGGCTCAAAGCCCTGCAGAGTCAGTTCGAGACTGCCGTGGCAGAGAAGGAAGGACTCGAGCGCCTGCTGCTCACGCAGGAGGAGGAGTACCGGACACAAGGGGAAGAGTTTGGGAGGAGACTCGGAGTCGAGAGGGAAAAGTTCGATGAAGTCCAGGGTCTCCTCAGGCTGAAGGAGACAGAGCTGGAGGAAGAGAAAGAAAAGAGAAAACTGTCAGAGGAGGAGAGGGATGGTTTAAAAGCTGAAGCCGAAGAGGCAACTGCGACGCGTGAAGAGAAAGATCGCCTGAACGCCGTTGTCCTGCATTTGCAAAGCAGCGAACAAGAGAGGCTGAGAGAGATCGAAGCTTTAAAAACACACTCTGATGAGATGAAGCTGGAAATGGAGGTCCTCAGAGAGGCCAGCCTCACCTACGAGAGGCAGGTGCAGGAAGTAAGAGCGGAAAACTTGGAGATGGAGAAAGCGGTGGCAGAAGGAAGAGAGAGGATTAAAACTCTGGAGACGGTGAAGGGAGAACTTTCAGCAGAACGTGAAGCGCTGAGGAGGAGGGAGTGTCAGCTCCAGGAGGAAATCCAAACCCTCCGAAAAGAAGTTGGTTCAATGAATGCCCTGATTCAGGAGCTGGCGGCTAAGCTGAGGGACCAAGAAGCCAGTCAAGAAGAGGCTCAAAAGGAGTTTCTGGTGAGTGTCAAATAAATAACCTTTTTGAGTCAATATTAAATATTCTGTACAGATCTAGAAGTTGATGATTTTGGGCTTGGAGGTTTACCCTTTACCTGCCTAGCAGAAATAAAGACTACACATTAACGTTTTTCATTGATCTCTAAATCCATTTATAAAAACTGATTCTCGTTTTAGCACCCTCTAGTGTTCAACCTGTATTGGTGTTTATTTTATTTATCTATTTTTTGTTGAAGGCTTTTAAAGTTTAAATAAAAAAAAAATACAGAGGTTGTAAAAACATTTTCATAAGGTTTATGGTTGCATTAGTTAGTTTATAAAGGCTGAGATTTTATTCAAGGACAATATAGTCAAAATCATCACTAGTCTTTATTGGCAAAATACAAAAAAGATTCATAAAAAAATTCCAGATTTGCTGCGTGATTCTGAAGTGCAGAGGAAGAAATATTGGAAAATAATCCAATTAAGCATTTCAGAAATTGACAAAAAATATCAGAAAATCCCCAAAACATCCTAATAAGATCAAGCCAGAGTTTGGTATGAGATTTTTTTTAAAGCCACTGGAGCAAAACATTAGCATCTAGCATTAAAATGTACTTTAATCCTGTATGTAAACAGATACACCAATCCCAACAGTACTGACAGTATGTGTATTAATAAGTCTAGTCATAAACTAAATTCAGAAGTCTGAAGAGAAAGTGTAGTGAAGCCGATTTTATGTTACAACAGCCTGCCCTAATGTAAATGAGTGGAGAGGAAGCAACACTGTAACCTAGCAACAGCTGTTTACCTTTAGAAAAAAATTATTCTGATTTTAGCTTTATTTAGCAGGTGGAAAGCCATGGTTTTACTTTTTTTTTTACACCCTTTCAGTTATGATTAATTTATATCTGACTTTTGATTAAGACATGGTAGGATTGTAAATTACTTTTTTTGTGTTTTTTTTTGTTTGTTTTTTTTTAGCTCTTTTATTAACTTGACCTTTAAGAAAGGTATTAATGTTAACCTAAATAGAGCTTCAAGCCTGGCATTGTTCAAAGCGAGCAACATCGTGTCGCTTTTCTGCCGCACGTACAGCTGTTAAAGCTGCTGCAGGCACGACCACATCTGGTTGTAGTTAAGGGGGCGTCGCTGTTGTGACGTGGTGCAACACTGACTGCAGAAACGAGAGGAAGTGTCTCTTTAAAATGAGGAAGAACGAGGAAAATCTAAGCTAGCTCTTAGTTTTAACACTTGCAGTCTGAGTTTGGAGTTTTTTTAGTCGCTCTGTCTGAACAGGATGTGGTAAGGTGCAATGTTTTCTCTTGTAAGGCGGCGTTTTGTAGGTTTGGTTTGTTGCATTGTTAGTCTGCCCAGCTCTGTTTGTAGTTGTGTGTGTGTGGCTAATTTTAGGCAATTGCAGCCTTTCTGGTACAAATATTCCGCTGCTTTCAAAGCGGAGCCTGGCATTAATATACGTCACAAGACGATTAACTCCACTTGTGTGACGCTTGTGAAATTGTCTGTTTTAGTCGAATAAAAAGCAAAGTATGTGATTTTTTTTTTTTTTTTTTTTTTTAAAGCTCAGTTCTGTTTACCTTTACCTTTCCACCAGACCAATGCTGATGTTACCCTGGCCAAAGCGGAGGCTTCCTTGAGACAGAGGAAGTCCGAGTGCGCCAAGCTGAAGGCTGAAAATGAAGCTCTTAAGACTGAACTGGCGGCAGTGAAACAAGGACTGAAAATCGTCTCGGAAAGGACCGGAAAACCTCATGAGAACGGAGAGGTGGGGAATATGAAAGCTTAAAAACTATATCTGTTATGATCTTTAGGTGTCTTTGATTTCTTTTTGATGGAAGTGACTTCTGTCCTTCAGGTCAAACGGCGACATCTTGTTGACCTGGAAGCCGAAAACCAGCGAATGAAGGCAGAGCTCGAACGTCTTCAGCAGGACGTGGGCGTGCAGGAAGAGGAACTAGCCTATCAGCGCAGAGAGCTGGAGCAGCTCCGTCGACTGTGTCAACAACAGGAGACAGATCCTCGCCGTCAGAACTACCACATCAAGGGTACACGTAGCAGTTGAATATTAATATTCAAGAGGTACCTTCTCATTATATCAAACCGACTAAAACTTTTGCGTTTCTCTCAGACGTTTCTCACAGAGCTTTCGAGGATGTTCTTGCGGTCTCTCGTGACGAAGCCTCTCTGAGCTCCCCGGAGGTCCTGAGAAAACTCGAATGCTCCGAGGACCAAACCAGGGAGCGCTTCCACGTCTCCGTCCTCGATTCCCGTCTGTCTGAGCTCAGTCGTCTGAACTGTACAGGTCAGGATCTTCCCCAGGCTCCAGTTTCTCCAGGGGTTGTGATGGAGCCTCCACACTCTGGGACGGTCACCCCGGATCCAGCCACCCGGAGCACCCACTCCCCGGGCTCTTTGACCGCGTCCGACCACTTCTCCGTGCTTGATTCGCTGGACCCTGACAAAGTATGCTGTGAAAAGAAAAAAAATTATATATATATGTATATATATAATTTATTTATTTTTAATTATTTTCCCAGCTTGACGAGTTGGAGGAGCTTGACCTGACGGCGCCTCCGTCTCCACTCGGCTCCACTTCTTCCTTCTCGGCTCAAGAATGGAACAGTGATGGATACGGGAGCAGTAAGTTCCCGCCGTTCCCCAGCAGAAAGGCAGCATTTGACAGCTATGAGTCAAATATCTTATTGTTATATTTTGTTATGCAGCTGGTTTCTGTGCAAAGTGGAGAGTCTTCTGAAAAAAATACTTGACTTACTAACATATGGCGCTAATTTTTTTTTATCTCAGATTACTTTATAACATTAATGCTTCTAGCTGAGGGAGAGAAACATTGAAGAAAATGTTAAAACTAACAATACAGACTAATTTACGTTATTACATAGTATTTTGTTATTAATGCCCTGAGATTTGAGACTTGGACGTACACTTACTATATGTGAATATATAAATGATAAATATGTGAATAATATTCAAAGAGAGCTACACGACTCGTAACGCATATGGGACCTTTGTTGTAACATTAGAAGAATAAAGCAATTGTATGAATTCATCATTCCCGCTACAGGATGATAAATTCAAATTCTTATTTTAAGATATTTAACAGAATAAATGCCAATCTCTAACTGTATTGTTCCCATTTTCATTTGAATACAGTTGTCTATTATTCATCCTCTCTGGTTTTCTATAGGTTAACTTTAAAGCCTGATTTTTTATTTTTTTTTAATACTCTCTCAAAAGGGGTTGGAAAACTATGAAAATAATAGTATTTTGAGATTTAAAAAGTATCGGGGAACCCAACAGACTTTCTTTCCTCTTTCCGTCATTCAGATGTGAGTTCAGAACTGGGAGCTCGACTGAGAGTGGAGCTGGAGCAGACGGAGAGACTGGACGCTCAGTTTGTCCAGTATCTGCGCTGCAGAGGGATAAACCCCACAGCCAACACGGACAGCGCGGCGGGAAGCATGAGCTACAGCGATGACTTGTTGTCACCCGAGCTTCAGGTGGGCTTTGCCCTGGAGTAGCTGCAACCGATTGCAAGCCTCGGTTTCACGTAGTTCTCGCGTCTTTCCGCAGGCTCTGTTGAAAAAGGTTTACCAGGAAAGCTGCAGGATTCTCACACTGAGCCAGCGTCGCTGCGCTCCTTCATCTCAGGCCAACCTTTCGGATATAAAGTCCTCCTCACCGAGTCGGACCCGGCATCGCTTTGGAGACGACTCGGCTCCGCTGGACCGCAGGGATAACTCGACCCCCTCCAACCCTCCAATGAACTGGCAGCAGGAGAAGAGAGCCTTGCAGGAGACTGTGGTCGCTCTTAGAGAGCTGCTCTGTCGAATGGCACAAAGACAAACACAAGTGAGTTTCTATGATTTAACATAACGCCTCAGTTGGGCCATTTGTTTAGAATTTAGTGTAAAAATGCGTTTGTGATTTTTTTTTTTGACATATGGGTTAAAGTACAGTTGTTGCTTTTTTCCTCTTAAGACTGATTACACTGATGATGGCTGGCACAGAAGCCACCTACAGTCTGATGGACATGTTGAATCCCAGATCAGGGCAGAGCTGGAGGAAAACCAGAGGCAGCTGAAATGTGCCCACAGCTCTCTGCAAGAGCACAAGAACAAAATACTTTCTCTCAGGTATGTGTGATCAGTTTCATTTCTGTTACTCACCGTTTGTTCCGGTGTTTTAAAATAGATTGTGAAAGCTCGGAACTCATTGCTCTTACTTTTGCTTGTCAGGCTGGCTGCAGAGGAGGCTGAAGAGGCCTTGAGGACCGAACAGACCAGATTCCAGGAGCTTCAGCAGGAGCTGGAACAAGAGAGAGCTCTGGTTCTCTGCACAGACCGAGAGAGAGAGGAAAGGATGGAGGTTAGACGAGAGCCAACAGAAACACAAGTAATCCTAAAAATGTATCTTAAATTTTGATATTAATCATTTTTCCTTTCCAGGCTGTTCAAGCTTCCTCTGAGAAGCTCAAGTGCGAGGTCCTGTCTCTAAAGGCTCAGGTGGAGCAGGAGAAAGTGGCCTGCAGCAACCTCAGGCAGGAGCTCCAAATCGAACAGTCCCGCAGCGGCCTGTTGGAGAAGCGTTTGCAGGATGCCCAGAAAGAGCTGGAAGACGAACACAAACGTTTCAGCCATCAACAGGAACTCCTCCTGCAGGAAAAGGATCAAGCCGAACGCCTCCTGAAGGAAGCCAACTCCGGCCTCGCTGAGTCTCACTGTAAGCTGGCGGATTCTCACAGGAAGCTCGAAGAGGAGAGGCAGCTTTGCTCCAAACAGATAAACGAGCTGAGTCGCAGACATGAGGAGGATCAGAAGTTCATCTCTAGTCTGCGCTCCCAGCTGGAGCAGGAGCGAAAGCAGGGGGAGGACCTGGCAGCTATGACGGACAAACTCGGGGCCGAGCTGCTGGACAGCAGGAGAAAATGGGAAGAGGACAGAGTAAGGCTGGAAGAACTTCAGCGGGAGAAGGAAGCCGCTGCCAGGCACAGAGCTGCGATGGAGTCCTTGAAGGAGCAAAACCGGGAGCTCAGCAGCGCTCTAGAGATGGAGCGACAGCGGTCCAGACTCCAAGACATCGAACTAGCGGGGCTGAAGGAGAGGTTTCATCTGCTGAAGGAGAAAGAAAAGGAGAGAGATGACCAACTGGAGAAGGACAGAAGAAAAGAGAGGCAAGAGGGGCTGGAGAGAGAAATGCTTCAGGACAGGACTAATAACAAAGTGGTAAATTATCAGCTTTAATTCTTTCTTATTGAGGATGCAAACATTTAATTGAATTATGATTGCTGATTAATGATTTATTAGCTTAAAATTGGTTCCAATCGATTAACTAGTAACGTCCACTTAGACCTTTTTTTAGTGTTGTAGTTTGGCCACCATCCAGCAGATGGCGTCCCTGTTCATCCTTAGTTAGAGCCAGTTGATACAAGAATAAAGGAGGAGGAGGTACCCCAGAATGGGAAAGAGAGATGATTCAGAGTCCAGTGTGACATGCAAGATGCCATTTTATGTGGTTTAGTTGTGAAGTATAAACACTCGATAATTTCCTTAAGTTTTACCTCAGTAGACTCGTTCAGTCGAGCTGTGAAATTACTGATGTGCTGCGAAGGTGAGGAGGTTGTGATGACATTAAAGCGGAGGGGATAACAGGAAAACAGAAAATGGCTGCTTACCAATTAATCATTAGTCTATTGATAAGAACAAACAACTTTACACCAACTCATTGATAACTTGCAGCCCTATTTCCTACACATACTACTTTTGCAAAGGTAATCCTATTATGTGAAGTGTTTTATTTTTTGTTTTAAAGAAGCACAAGCACATGACATCATGTTTCTTTCCAAAGTTGGAGTTGGAGTTACTGAGGCAGCAAGACCAGCAACACATGCAGGAGCTGCAACAGACTCTGGCGGACCTGGAGAGAGAAGGCAGGGAACGGGAGAGAGAGATGGCAGCTCAGAAAGAACTGCTGCACCATAAAGTACTCTCCCCACAGCGTCCAATCAGCATCTCCCGTCTGGACGGGGCCCCAGCAGGCGTCTCTCTGCAACACCAACAGGTATTAAAATCCTTATTACTAAATATGTTTAGTTTGAAACTTGGAATATGATTTTGTGTTCAGGAGATTTGATTAAAAAAAAACCCCAAAATGCTTATTTTTTTTTCTGACTGTAGAGGGTGTCAACATCATCATCCAATCTGCTGCAGACATTGCTGAAGGAGAACTCTGATTTGACTGAGCGCTTGACGTCCGTGAGTCAGGAGAGCGCCACCTTCAAGAGCAGACTCGCCATCCTGGAGAAACAGCTGCAGCGCAAAGAGTCTGAACTTGCCAAGGTCACCACAGAAACGGAGAATCAACCCGTCGGTGATCCGGTCTACCACGGCAGGGTCAGTACAGGCACAGGAACCATACAGGCTGGGTCCAAATTCAGTTGCTGCATCCTTATAGGATGACAATAACGTCACAGTGATGCGACGAAGGCTGTCCAAATTCAGTTTGATGGATGGGTCTGGTGCATCTTTAGCTGCCCACCGCATCCCAAGATTCAGTGCAGCTCAATGAGACATTTTTATTTTTGCAGCAATGGTGAATGAAGCGGGCCAAGAATACAGTTTTAGGTAAAAGTACATTAAAATATGGTTTGCAGCAGAATGAATCTGCAGGATTCACCGTCCAATTTCAGTCGCCCACTTCCAACCCGAAGTAGGTCTGGTCCTTCAAAAGATGCAGCCCTGAAATCTGGACACACTAAATGTTTCATCCCTATTTTGTATCAGGGTTCTTTTGAAAATCTTTTTAGTTTTAAATCTCGCTGTAAAGGACAATCTAATGACTACATGTTGTCCTAGCTCTGCAAAAACGACCCCAAGTAAAACCAGTTCAGCTCTTCTTTTTTAAAGTAACATTTTCTGTTTTCGGTTTTAAAGCTGCAGCGTTACTACGAGCGTTACCTGCGCGCCGAGAGCTTCAGGAAAGCTCTGGTTTACCAGAAGCGATACCTGATCCTGCTGCTGGGAGGATTCCAGGACTGTGAGCAGGCCACTCTGTCTCTCATTGCTCGGATGGGAGTGCGGCCCACGTCTCCGCTCGCATACAAGCGCAGGCCCATCTGGAGGTTCAGGGCGGTGGTCCGAGTTGTGATAGCTGTGTCGAGGTGAGGCGTAAATAAAGCTTCCCATCTTTCTGAGCCCTGCGAATGGATACGATTAACTTCAAATTGTGTTCTGTTTTGAAGGATGAGATTTCTGACCAGGAAATGGCAAAGAGCAGTGAGAAGGGTTGCATTATCTGCAACCATCAATGGACATCTTACAGGTTAGCATGCACAAATTGCAGAAGTAACATTTGGATACACTAAAAGCTTAAATGCATATATTTTTGAGATTTTATATGTGAAGTGAATGGAAACTAATCCATATTTTAAGTTTTTAAATCAAATCTAAAATGCATGGTTTGATTTATATTAAGCCCCCGCTGACTCAGTACTTTATGAAACCATCTCGCCCTCAATTCCAGCTTCAGGTCTTGAACAAAACTGTGAAAAACCTCTAGATATGTGAATGCTTTTTAAAGCACTGTGACTCAGTTTGTCATTGTCGTGTCTTTCGCAGCACCTAAAGCTGATGTTTTAAGGCAGCAGCAGCCAAAAATAAATATTTACTCGGCACAGAACGGAGACAGAGGCGACGGCCAACGAGGTGCTCTCTCATTTCTAGCTCCACCCGGCAAATCGACATTCAGACTACAAAGAAGGTCTGGAATACTTCAAAACACACTTTTTCGAATTTTTGTGAAATTTGTAAATCCGATCCTCACCGAGCTTTCCATCTTCAGGCCGCTCTCCAGTTCCTGCCTGACCTCTGCTCACTCTGCTGGAACATCCCAGGATCCAGAACGCTCTCTCACAGACTACATCCATCATCTGGAGAGAGTCCAGCAGAGGCTGGTGGGAAACGGACAAGGTGAGTTCAGGACAGATTATTTTGGTTTTCCTGAATCTGGTACGTAGTGTTCAAACGAGCAACGGTAGGAAGTGGACTGGGTTCCTCTTTCTCTCTCACCGTCCAGTCACTGCCCAGATGGGGACAAAATAAAAACTAAATCTAGATTTGTAAGCAACCCTCTCCGCACACCATATTCAGATATTTTCAGATCACGTAAATTGCACAGTTAAAGTACTAGACTAAGACCTTTTGTAATGTAAGATGGAGGCAAAATTGTAAAATGTTGATTTATCATTCATTTATTTATTGCTTTATCATTTGTGACACCTGCAGTCACAAAGACCCAATTACTGTCCAGTTATGGTTTATAGTACTTTGAAATGTTCAGAAAGTTATAAAAACTAAAAAAAAAATCTATTAAAACATAAATTTGCACACAGAACACTGGCTCTTGCAAATGAGAAATTATAATAAAGTTTTCAAAAACTATGTGAGACTGAAATGTAATTTGCATTAAGATTAATGAAAATTATGGTAATTATAATGCCACTGCTAATCACACTTCATCATTAGGAGTGTTTTTGTTGTTACTGTAACTTGGTCAGTGTGTATACATGATTGTCATACATAAGGGTGAATATGGATTTAAATAATTTATTTCCACGTTTTGTGTCTTTTAGGTTCCTCTGCCTTCCAGTCTCACCCAAAGTAATCCATTCACCGAAGCCTGAATGTTGCCTTTGTGATAGCACCAAACTGACCATGCCTTAATGCCTTGAAGGATGTTTATAATGTTTCTTTTTATTATTTCACATTTCTTTTAAACGCATAAATTATTTTTGTATTTTTTTTTTATGTGAATTTTATTTTGTATGCCTGCTATTTTGAACATCATTTTAAAGACGCAGCTCCAACAAAAATGTCTCATAATTTCAAATAGTGCTTCTTTTTTTATGTTATAGAGTGATTGTACATCTTGGTATGTCTGCTCTGGTTTTATGCTACATATGAGAGATCAACACACTATGCTGAGTGAGCAGATTGTTGTATGAGGATAAAATGTGTTTCCTGGCTTTTACTTTAACATGATTAAAGAAGACACTATGCTCTCTTTACCAAACTGAACTTTTCCTGAGATCTTGACTCTCATGACATATTTTTAATCCAACTTAATATGCATGCCAGATTTTGGCATAAATTACAATTGAGAACCCTTGAAGCACACCATATCATTCAGAGTAAACGGATCACACTAGAGCACACTGAACTGGTGAACACTTGCTGTTTTATTTTTGAATACTTGTAATATTACTCATCTACTGTTAGGTTATTTCTAGAAAGGAGTTGGTACCAGCTATCAGATACCAAATAAATATTTGAACTGGGACCTAAATTCACAGTTCAGAAACCATGCACAGTCAAAAGAGCAGTCAGCATCTACATAAACCAACATAAATGTAGATGTTGGCTACATAAACTCCATGGACTTCATGATTTAAGTTTTTCATCTGTGTTTCTAGAGGTGAAGCCCTCTGACATTCCTATTTTTTAAATGCAGTTTTCAGTCAAACCAGAGAACCTCGTTTTGAACACTGGCTTCACTTTAAATAAAAAAACAAAACGTAATACAAATTGATCTTTGAAATTGTAAACATTGGAGTTGGTTTTGGACTTGTGTATGTGCAATTTGTAATATAACAAAAATAAAAAGGTAGCATTTTTGTTTCCATTTCTAAGTGGCAACAGGTGCAGCATGTATTTGAAAAAGCTTCAAACATTTATTCCTCTAAGTTGACAATACGCCCTGCAAATATCTGAATTAGACATTATTAAACCAGAAGTTAGGAAAACTTGAGTAGAATTGCATTGACAGTATCATTTGAGATAAATATGTTCCGTGGCACATGAGTGTCTTAAGTTTATGATCACGTCTCACAATATCTCATTAACAATAATGACTTTGAGTCTATAGCAAAACCATATTGAAACAGTTAAAATATAATTCAACAATCTTGTTTTAATTACAAGGAAGCAAATCTTTATATCTTAAACTACTATATAAAGTAGTTTACTATTTTATATAGTAGTGACAGCGGTCTGAAATACACATTTTATCTTTCGGCCTAGATGTTTGTTGCTTTCTTCAATCGGAAAGCACCGCCTGTGATTGGTTCGTTCTATTCAGACGAAGTCTATAGAGCCCCGCCCGAGCGTCCTCCCCTGCAACACAAAACATTCGCACCTAGTGAGACTGTCACACGCAGTGACGCACATCCTGCGCATTTCAACACAGAGATGCTAACTGGGCTAAAGCTCCACTGGTAACCGTTGTGTCGTAGATTGTTGTGTGAGGTTTTAACCTGCGGAAAATCAGTCCTGGCCCGTTCGGAAGACCTCGTTCCATTTTTCTCGTATTTGTCTGGGATGTATGGATGGATAGTTGACGGAATCTCGTCTCTGTTTGAGCCCGTTACCGGGCAAAACCACACCGAGTGGCCTGCGAGAAGAAGGGGTAGTGGGGAAGGAGCTCGGCGGCAGGACAGCAACGGAAGACCGACTAAACGGAACTACAAAAGGTCGGTGATATTCTGATACCTGGTGGTTCCGTTCTGGATGCGCTCTTATTCCTCTGTGGTTCAATTTCAAATTTGTTGACTTAACTCTTATGATGGTGACTAAAGTTAAGCTAACAACAGTGAGGGGGTATGTTTGAAAATAGATAAGGATATCAAGCTTCAGTTCCTGCTACTTTTAGATGTGTCCCGGGTTAAACACCTTAATTAAATGGCTAAATCGCCTACTAATGGCCTAGTTAATTAACTTAGGTGTGTTGAAGCAGGAACACATCTAAAAGCTGCAGGGCACAGGCCTTCAAGGACTGGAGTTTGAAATCTGCTCCCCCTGTTCTGCATGTCTTAAGTGTTACCTTTCCTCCACACACCTGACTAAATAAAAAAGTGATTGCCAGTCTTACTGACATATCAAGAAGATAATTCAGCCTTTTGATTTAAGTGTGCTGGAGCAGGAATGCATCCAAAAGTTGTAGGACAGTGATCCCTGCTCTAGATAATCTACTGCCTCCTCTCTTGATGCTCCTTTTTCCTCTTTTAACCCTATATGATTTAGTTCTCAGGAAAATTAACACATTTTACACGTATGCTTTCTTTGTTCAACATGAACCCCACCTGAAGAGTCTCTCTCTCTGTTTTGAACTAAAGTTATTTGCTCAAAGTTCATGTTTTTCATGAAAGTCGTTGTAAAGTATGGCAAGCTCCATTTGTCTACATTTGTAATGCTGGAACAGAACAATCGTTTCCTGGCACACCTCCACTTGGTTTGTATTAAAGCACAAGTTCTTCAGTTTTATTTATACAAAAGGTTTCACTATTTCCTGGATAATTAAATAATTTTACAAAAAGAGGTTAATTGTTATGAATAGGAGGCAGCATTATAATTTTCCTCTGTTGCAGTGTGCATGTTGCCGATGGTGTTTGTCAAAGTGACCCAGTGGCGGCAAAACGACGCAAACGTGGTATGTTGGGATCAATTAAAAATGCCAGGGTTTGTTTTTTAAAAAAAAGTCTCTGTATTTCGGTAACTGTTGTGATCTCCTGTCTTTGTAGATGTTGTGATCAGCTTTGTGAAGAAGACGGTGGCAGGCATAGCAGGTCTAGTGAGCCTTCGGAGACCGCTGCCAGCAAGGTGTCAAAATCCAAACAAGCATGACGAAACACAGGTGGGTGTCATCATGTCTTCTTTGTGTTCAAGTGCTTCATCATGTTCTGTAGGTATAGACAAGCAGCCAAATAGAAGTTTTGCTGTATGGCCTGGTGAAGGTGTTTCCACTTGTGGGGTACCTCAAGTCTCTGTTCTTGGGCTCTAGTTTTCCTCAAGGGGACCGCACACCGTCAGCTTCAGACATGTGTCCAAAAATATAATTTTCTATTAAATAATGGATACCATTAGCGGTTGGTCAGGTATCCTTTTCAGACCTCACCTCAACAGGCCGTAAACGAAATGCCACGCCGTACTGGCTCCCATAGCTGCTCTTCTTCTGCACAGAGTAGTAGTTGCAGCACCTTCTCTGGTGGGACCATGGTTTAAAAATTGAGGATGGATTGATTTTTGAGGTTAAAAAAATTAACAGTCTTGTTATTATAAGAACAGTTGCAAAACAAAAATATTTCCTGGAGATCCATTGCTCACCAGGCCAGCTGTGTTAAGTGAAGGATTACCAAGCTAGTATTTTGGATTTGATTTACATTCAAACATTTGCAATTCATTTTGGTTGCAAGTGATTTTTTATGGCATGCGACTCCAACTGTTGGCGTACATGGATGACTGCATTGACAAAAATAGTTAGGCCTGTTCTTGCAACAACAATGTATGTTAAAGATGTAATTTGATGCAAGTTGGAGTGCATCAAGATGCGAGGTTTTTGTTCTTAGTATTTGCTAACAATGAAAATTATAGCTTTACTCTTATTTACTTACTAAATTTTGACTTGGCATTTGCAAAACTTGGTCTTGTTACTCCCCAGTTTTATTATTGCTGCTCTATGCAAGTCGGCCTGGACCAGGCCCATATGCTTGGCTTTTCATGTACGGAACCTTGTGTTTACATGTGCTTCACGGATAAAATGTATTTCATTTAAAGCTGTTTGTTTTGGGTTTTTTTATGTTTGAATCTAGCCCGTTACTCTAATGGGCATAGATGAGCTTCACACGTCATGGCTTAATGGTACTGACTGGAAAATGGGTAAGTGAAGATGGATATCTCTGCACCTATTGACTCTTGTCTATATTCATATCTAACACTTGTTGTCTTCTCAGATAAATCTGTAGGTGGGGTGAATGACAGGAGTTCAAAGAACCCCTTTCAAAACTCTATACCCCCTTTAAGAAAATACAGGTCAGTGATCTAGTTTTTGTACAGTTTGTTCATTAGTCTCAATAAAACCTTCAGCGCACTCTCTTTATGAACTACTATTTTTGTTTTGGAATCTAGTGGAGCAACTCTCCCTGCTGGGCTCCCAGAAAGAGGGAAGAACTGGGAGAGAAGAGGCTCCTTTCAGCTGCTGCCTTCAAGGCCCGCTATCAGAGTGGGAACACCTTATCCCGAACCGATTTCTAATGGCTACGGACACACCCGCTGCCCTAAACCCAGTCTAACTGTGGAAGAGGTATATTTAGACCTGAATTTAGTGTCGTTTGGAATATTCTGTTCCATTTATGATGGTCATTTCCCACTTTATCCTTGCATGTAGTAATCACTCAAGGGTACCTCATTATTACTGAACATTTTTTGCCACTTCATATCTTCAGTTGTGATTTTTGTTTCAGGCCATAAAGCAGAACAATAAGGAGCACTACAGACGCTTACTGGAGATGGTGACGGAGAAATACAGCAAAAGCCAACCACTACCTTTCAACCAAGCTAAACCACATGAGTGAGTGTTTCCATCTGCTGGTGTGGTGTTTTCAAAGATGTTTAATAAGATCACCATGCACCTCTTAACTGTGTTTTTTTTTTTTTTTCTCCTAGCGAGTCACTGTTGCAAAGTTCCCACAAAACATCTGCTTCAGAGAGAACCTTTGATTCAGTCTCCAGGAGGGTGGTGTGCACAGGTAGCACTCTCCTGTGGATACTGTTTGTCTTTAAAATAACAAATGACCGCTTCTATTTTTGTTTGTCCCACAAACTTTCACTTTATCTGTTTTCTTTTTTTGGGTTCATTGAACAGATATATGTGAAAAACCATTCAATGAAATACAGAAAATTATATATATATATATATATATATATATATATATATATATAAAACACTTAAGTGTAATAGCAAAGTTCTTTTTGCTTTTTTTTTTTTTTTCATGCGTCTTGTCTGATGATGTGGAGAAGCCCAACAGATTTACTTTCACAAGTGGAGCATTAGAACTTTCGCTGTAATGCTCCATTTTATATATTCTTAAAAAAAACTTGGCTAATTGTGATTAAATTAACATTTACGGCCATTTTCTAGTGGGTAAAAAAAAATAATCTTCTCCTCTTCACAGCTTCACCAACTGTGTTTACATACAGAAATACTACTGCAACTAAGGACAGGTTGGTTTTAAACTACCTGAATTATGTGTCTTTTTTTTTCTTCTTCAATACTTTAATAACTTTTATCTTTCATATCTTCAGGTGGGGAGGTTTATCTTTTAATAAGTCATACAGTGAAACCCTTGAGGAGAAACAGCCTGTTAGATATGCAAAGGTAGGCACACATTAACTCTCTTCTATCATGCCAAAGCAGCCATTGAATCCTGCGAGTAATGCTGCCCTGCATTGCAGCAAAAAGCAGCAGCGGATGTGGACCTTTCCACAGAAGTCGCTACTCGCCTTAATCTCGTGGACAGAGATGCTTCTGCGTTCAGCGCCGCTGAAACTCAACCTTCCTATGCTTCACATATAAGGCACAGCGATGAGGACATACCCAGGCTGACCAAGGTTAGATTGTTTAAAAGTAATGTAGTGCGTTTCTGACTGCATGGTTACGCTGCCATTTTAAATGTCTCTTCTCGGTCTTATAGGAAATGGCAGTGGAGGTTAGTGAAGCTTTGGCTCAGAGAGATCCTAACCTTGTTTTAAGTTCAGCCTTCAAACTTCGCATCACGCAGCGAGACCTGTCCACTCTACTGGAAGGTGGATGGCTCAATGATGAGGTACTTGTACGCTTAACTAAGATGGATCTCGGATCTAAACCAGCCCACTCCGCTGAAGACAAGATTGAAGTTGAAAAACATTTTTTTTACTGCATTGAGTTGGAGATCATTGTTTTATGGCAATTTTTCCTCCAAGGTGATGAACTTCTACCTTTCCCTCATCATGGAGCGACGCTGCGGAGAAAGTGGAAGATTAAAGGTGTACAGTTTTAGCACCTTTTTTTACCCAAAGCTGCGGGGTTTGGGACAGGTTGGAGGACATGCGGCTGTGAAGCGATGGACCAAGGCGGTTGACCTTTTCATGTTTGACCTCATCCTCGTCCCGCTGCACCTTGGTGCCCATTGGGCATTAGCTGTGAGTTTGATTCGTCACATAGCTTAAAATGCATCAATATTTGCTGCAGAAATACTTGGATGAAACTCCAATAAGAATGTAGAAAATTTGTTGAGTTCAAAAAGAAGAAAACTTAGATCAGCTGCTGCTCCCACCTTCCAACAGAATAAATACAGATTGCTATTCCCAATTTTATATTTGTAAAAGTAACACTTTACTAAAAGTTTCAATAGTTCAACATACTTTTCATCGTATGTATACTTTGTAGGGTAGTAACTATGCCTAATACTCATCAGATGAGACTGGATATGGAGTTCACTAGAATGAGACGGGACAAGTTTTAATATAACTTACACTGCAGAAAGGCCTTTATTCTGCATTTTTATTTTTTTGTCACAAACTTAACAAACTTTCTTTTCCTGAGTTCTTTTAATCTATTTTCATCTACCTTATGTCTGCATCAACTATGCATGGTGTGCAGTATAACATTTCCCAGTTGATGTGGATAGCGTGCGAGTATGATGTAGACATCCAACTATCGGTTACTATAGCAAAGCTTTTTACCTCTTTCAGCGTCTGAACAACTTGCAGTACTTGCCTATTGTTTGCCTTATTGCTGTTAATAGTTCCTACTGAAAACTAAAAATGGTGGAGCAGCTTATATTATAATTTCATCAGGCAAAGCCATGAGGACTGCATTTGGCTTGTACTTTTAAGACAGCAGTCGCCTCAATGAGAAATATCGTAATGTTTTAATACACAAGATGTTGTGCGAGAAGATTTTGCTGCATCCCCAATTTGTTGAGATTTCCAATTCACTGATTATCATCTAGACTTCACAACTTTCCTGCAGAATCGTCATGTATTAATGATTAGTCCTAAATTTTGTTGCATCAGTTTAATACAGCCATATTAATAAACCGCTTCTTGAGTTTGTTTTGCCAACAATATTTTGTGCAATCATTTTTAAGCCATTTCCTGTATAAAACTTTAGTTTCTGTCACACTTTACAAACTTTGTAATAAATGAATTAAAAAGTTTGCGTTCCCAACACTCAGCCTTGTGGTACTCCGTATTTGTTTGAGCACTTGTATTTCATTGTGAAATTATAAAACAGTAGATTTACAATTTGTTTAAAGAGAAGTAGGATTTAAGTCGGCTTGTTTTAATAAATGTTTTCATTTTAGGTGATGGATTTAAAGTCAAAGACTGTTAAATCATATGACTCAATGGGTCGGAGACATGACGACATCTGTAATCTTTTACTGTAAGTCTGTTTTCCATCTTTCACTCCCTCAACTTTTATCTTTTTTTCCCCTCCAGTCTTTCAATCTTTAGTGTTTGTTTCTTTGAGTTGTACTGCACTATGAATGACGTAGCGGTGCTTATTTTCCAGTCTCTACCTTAAAGAAGAACACAAAGCAAAGAAAGGAAGGGAGCTTGACGGTGCCAAATGGACTGTTGGAAGTCTGAAGGCTGGTGTATGTCAAGCTCACTATTGACATAAGATTTAAAAACGTAATGTCATTTTTTTTTTTTCTAAAATTGAGATTAATGCCTTATTCTGTACAAACAGGACATTCCCCAGCAGACTAATGGAAGTGACTGTGGTGTTTTTGTCTGTAAATATGCTGACTATATAGCAAAGGGAAAGCCCCTCACCTTTAAACAGGTAAGCTCAAATTTAATGCAACCACTTGGAGTTTATTACTGAGAAGTGCAATTGCTTGTGCAGAGCAGTGTTTGTCTTACCATGCTACTACATGTTATTAGCCTTGATTATTAAAATCAGTGTTTTTTAAAGTATGTTGTATTATGCAGATTTTGTTCTAATTTAATTGCTTTCTTCAACTTTTTTTAGTGCCACATGCCTCTCTTCAGGAAGTTAATGATGTGGGAAATCCTTAATCAGAAGCTGCTATAGAAGATTACACCATCAGAAGCAACAACGGCAACTTTGTTTTAGTCTCGCAATTGTTGGACCGAAATATAACCCAGATATTTGGAGTAATAAAACACTAGTCTTAACTTTGTCTCCTTTTCTCCCAAAGGGGCATAGAAACTATTTTTAATCTCTGAGTTTTAATTGGAGATGTTTTGCTGAAGGAAATTTGTCGCGCACAAACTTTGGCACTAGTGAGTGAATGGCTTTTGACTTTGAGATTATTTTTTTTTTTATAAAAAAAATCACTGCTTGAAGTGCCTTTAACCCGCTGGTGGAGCTCAGTGAAGAGCACGCTTCATGGAGAGTTTGTTTGGTTTTTGCAACTTGACTGCATTTTTGAGCAACTTGGCCCAGAATGCAGAAATGATCCTTATGGTCATTTATTTGATTTATTGATTGAAGTATGTAGAGATAATTATATTTAGTCACAAAACTGTTCTGTTGTGTGAAATATAAATGGTGAAAATATTGATATACCTCCTGTTTTGCATTTTGTCCAGATACAATTTGCATGTTTGCAAACTTGCTGTAGTAACATTTTGTTTAACATTATTTATAACTTGACTGGATGAAAAAAAAAAAAATGTGTGTGTAATGTTTCCTTCCATAATTGGAGTATGACTTATTTATTCTCCCACATGTAGAGCAGTTACAAAACTTAATAGGGAACTACTGTACAAGCATGTATGTTAGTGCTCATGCTTAAAATATGATCCTATCCCCCCTCCTGTAATAAAGTGGGTTTTTTGTAATCTGAGTTTTATTTTATTTTTACTAGTCTAGAGCAATCCGTGAGGGTTCCAGTGAATGAGTGAGTGAGCTTTTCCTAAGCTCATTACATTCCAAGCTGGTAAAGGTGTGAGCTGTAACCTAGCTTGTAAAAAGGTTCATTATGTCTCTTAATACAGTGCCTAGAAAACTACTTATATAAGCTAGTGCACAACAGTACTTAAGGTACTTTTTTTCAAAACTAATAGTTTAGCATTAAAAAAAAAAAATTCAATTTACTAGTAGGTGTAGATAAAAAGATTCCCAAACGTCGTAACATTCGTATATTCACCTTATATAATTAACAGAATAAGAGTTTGAGTAGAGTCTACCATGCTGTCGCAGTCCGCTGGACAATAATCCAATGTAAAACTGTGATATTTTGTCCAGAGTATGTGGTTACACAATTGCATGCTACTTCAGAGATTTACGTTCAAACATGTTTTGTAAAGACAATCCCGTTTTATTTTAAAAGGAGCCGGAAATGGCGTCATTGGCTACAGAACGTTATAGAAGGTTGCTGTTGTTAGGCGGTGTGGACAGAAACGGCTCGTTGTTTTGGGGGCGCGCTTCAGCACTACCTAATTTACTTTTCCCTCTGGGTTCAGTAGACTTATTAAAGGGGTTGCAAATTTCTGACTGTAAAATGAGCGACAACGAGAAGGATTTTAGGGAGCAGGTGAGTTTTATTAATTAAAGAATATTGAGTTACTTCGGTTAAGATATAAACGGCTAGCTAGCTTATCCGTTTCCAGCCGTTGGACGTCTGAAAAGGTTTGCTAGACGAAAGGTTTAAAGTCTCTTAGTGCTGATATCTGCACAAGTGTTGTATGTTTTATTAGTGTTTATACACGAATAATTATGGATAGTTGCATCACATTACTGAATACAATTATATTAGCGAAGCATGCTAGGCTAAACCATGCGGCCTGTGCAGATCAGGAAACACGGTTCCGCCTCATAGAACTACCTTCATTTTAGCACATTGGTCTTTAATTATCGAGTTATGCAATGAATTACGAGTATTAAAGTAACTACTGTATGTGCACTGTAATCCTTGCTTATTTAAAATTGAACATGAATTATAAGCTAACTTGTCGAGCTTTAATTTTTTTTTCTTTCGTGTTTATTTTTTTCTTTATACCATTTGGTTGAAACAGAAACCAACTTGCCTTATCACCCTTGTTTGTTTTTTGTCAAGGTTAAGGTGGGAAGAAAGAAAAAGGCCCAAGACGTGTCAGATGTGACGTTTTTAATGTTTGAAGCTGATGGGGTTGATGCATGCTAATGTTTTGGAAGCTGAAAAGAAGCGATCAAGATCTGGCCTCACTTCTAGTTGTAATGGCAGATGGTAAAATGGGGAAGAGGAGGAAAAAAGAAGTCAGATTCAAACGGAAGAAAGAAGAAATGAAGGGGTTGTTATGAAGTAATGAAGTGAACGAAGTTATGAAGTTAAGATCAGAAGTATAACTGGGTATGAGTGATTTCCTAACAACATGTTATATTATTGCTCTATTTTACTTTTCTTTCTCCTTAGCATGCTTAATTATTTTTTGCCCTTTCTGTATCAAACACATCACTAATTGTTCCCTCAATTTTGTTAGATTTTTTTTAAATGTGGATCTGCTAATGTATTTAATCTATATTCAGTTATTTGTCACAGTTTTTTTTTCTTCTTCCAATTTTCCAGATAATTTCTATCAAACCCTCTAATCACCAAACTATGGTGCTGTTCTTCTGAAAAAGGCTTTTAGGGGGCAGAGGGTTAACATTTCCCAGCCCTTATGTTACTGTGTGGCAAACTTGTCTGTAAAGGGCTTCTGATACCTGTCTTTTATTCGCTCAGGACTCTCGGGGAGGCTCAAGGAGTGCATCCCCAAGAGGCTCCGCAAAATCTGCCAGCCACTCTCCTGCACGGTCTAAAGATGGCTCTCGGCGCTCCAGGTCCAGATCTCGCTCTCAGTCCAGATCAAAATCTAGGTGAAGTAACGCTTTTTTTCCATCTCGTGTAATGTTTTGCTGGGGGGTTTTTTTTTTTGAACTGAAGTGCCTTTATTAGCACCAATTCTGACTAATGTCTTCCCCCCTGTCATGCACCAAAAAACCCCAAAAAACAATAGGTCAAGGTCCCACCGAAGCTCACGCAGGCGCTACTCCCGCTCTCGTTCCCACTCTCGACGCAGACGTTCACGGAGCCGATCTCGAAGCTCAGATTACCGTCGACGTAGGAGCCACAGCCGTTCCCCGATGTCTAATCGGCGCAGACACATTGGCAACAGGGTGTGTATTACTGCTTTAAAATTTGTTGTATTAAAAAAATCTTTTTTAATGTTTTTATTTTTATTCGAACTTTTACTCTTTTACTCTTACAGGCTAATCCAGACCCCAGTGCTTGCTTGGGTGTGTTTGGTCTGAGCCTTTACACCACTGAGAGGGACCTGAGGGAAGTTTTTTCTAAATATGGCCCCTTGGCCGATGTCAACATAGTGTATGACCAGCAGTCGCGTCGTTCAAGAGGTTTTGCCTTTGTTTATTTCGAAAACAGTGAGGACTCCAAGGAGGTAAGCATGTGATTGGGTTATATTTTTAGTTGCAGTTCTGTTTTGCTGCTACCTCTAATAGTGATGTCTCTTAGGCCAAGGAGCGTGCTAATGGTATGGAGCTTGATGGACGCAGGATCAGAGTGGATTTCTCCATCACCAAAAGAGCTCACACTCCAACTCCTGGAATCTACATGGGACGCCCCACATAGTGAGTGTTTGGGGGTTATGGGCTTTCTATTTTTATGCAAAGTATTTATAAACCATGGTGTGTATAAGGGTGACAGCTGAACGTGTGTTTGCAGTGGTGGTGGTGGTGGTGGTGGAGGCGGCGGCGGTGGAGGAGGCGGCGGTTCATCACGCCGTTTCTCTAGGGACTACGACAGGGGCTATGACAGAGGATATGATAGAGGTTATGATCGCGACTATGATCGCTACGAAGAGCGAGAGTACCGATCGTACAGGTACAATTAAATTACCTTGACACAATGTACAAGATCGTAAGATGAAACTACTGATAAATTTTACTTTCATTTTGCTCGATGGATCTGATATTCATGTAAAATGAAAGTTCTTTTTCCTTTGACAGACGCAGATCTCCGTCTCCGTACTACAGCAGAGGTTACCGCTCACGATCTCGATCCTACTCGCCACGTATGTATACGACATGCAGTTTTAAAAAAATGTACTTTGAATAAAACATTTGTGAACATGTTTGATTTTTGACATTTAATATCATTTGTAGTTTCAGTTAATTATTATACGTAAACATGCAATGATTTGTCTTTTAATAGATGGATGGATTTTAAGTCTCCATGTTCCACCAGAGTAGTTTGTTGATGTTTTTTTTGTTGTTGTTTCTTTTTTTACAGGTCACTACTAGGCAGCAAAGATAGGCAACGACAGTATTATGTTCTGGTGTTTTGTTTCATTTTGTTTTGGGTTTTTTTCATTATTATTATTATTATTTTTGTTTTTGCTTTTTTAATTTTGACCAGACCGTGTGTGTGTGTGTGTGTGTGTGTGAGAGAGAGAAAGGGACTTTTGCATGTATTCATGTATCAGAAAGTTTGATTTTTATCCCTAAACATGTCTAGACAGTGCTGAATTTCCATGTTACTGAGTTTAGCACAGATTATGGAGGTTCAAAATGTCGGGAATTGATGCTTTTTCATCTTTGCTCGTCACCTAAATAAAATTCTGTATGTTGTCAAATAAAAATGCTGAATGCTTTTTAAATGTAGAATTTGAAAAAAAAAAAAAAACCAGTTTGCTTCAACTGACATGTTTTTATCTTTGTAGGATTTTGTTCTTTTTTATTATTTTTTTTTTTTAGTGTTCTACAGTAGATGGCTTCTTTAAACTGTGTCTATTCCAAAAAAAATAAATGACATTTTTGTCTTTGTCTGGTGACTGATTGCTTTTTGTTGTTTGTATACAAATGATAAAATACCCTTGTCTTACTCTGCATAATCTACTTAAGTTATAACATCCATATCTGATCTTAAACCCAAGTGTGAGAAAATTGAATGTTGAGCTTCTCTAGTTTTATCTGTTTCACATTGAACAAAGTTTTCTTGATATGGATGCTAAAAGTTGATTAACTTTCAGAAACATTGCCCAAAACAATTGGATTTTAAAATGTTACCTTTTGTATTGGAGTTGAAAACCAGATGAAACGCCTAAAAGGTCAACAAAAGTTGCTTTGACATCACACCCAACTTAATCCATTGTTGTACTAAAAGTGTTCAATGTGGGGTCTTGCTTTTTGTTTTATAGACTACAGCAATTTCATTTTATCATAAGTTCCAGTCTGCATTTTTTTTTTCTGAACTTTGCCTCTACTGTGGACCCCATAGTCCCATGGAGTTGCTTCGGAGCGTGGAAGTGTGGAAAAAAACATAATTGGCATACCAACATTTCTAACTAATGTTATAAACTATACTTTGTGCATGGTCTTTGATTAAAAACTCCATTATTTATGTCACACCAAAAGAGAATAAACCCGTTTGGTCGATTTTCGGGAATAAATCTCAATTGGAAAGTTTTAATTTCTCTAAGTTTGCAAGGACAACTAATTTGTATGTTAAACAACAAAGAAGTATGCAGCGCTGTCTAAAACTACGAACAAAGCACGCTTTACTAGCTCAACTTTCCTACTGTTACTTCAATTACGTTATTTACATGTTAATTAACAATAAATGACGACTCCCATCGATTCTGAAAAATACTTACAACTCTGCAAACAAGAAATATAAGCAAATTTTGTTTTGAAGCCGGGAAAATTGTGGTTTTTTGCAGTATCCCAACAGAAAATCAGTTTGCTACATTATCTCGGGTTGCCTCTGACGTATCGTTCCAGATGTCCGGCTGACCAATCAGAGACGTTTTGCGTCAAAACCCTTCCGCTTAGCTTTCCGACCTGCCTTTCCAGTGGAGTGGCTGGTGTGAACAGACAGAAGAGAAGCAAACACCACGTAGGAGCAGGAATTAAAGGTACCAAGCGAGTTGTTTTTTCAGCTAAACATCTTCCAAATTATTTTAGATGTGGTAAGGAGATTTTTGAACGCTCATAAAACGCCTGTGGTCGGATACTTGGATGGTTCCAGTTAGCCACCTGCTACCGCTTAGCATGCTGTGTTTGAATGAGCATATGAGTCTAGCTGCCTCTACACGTTTTCACCAGGGCTAGCTGTGAAGAAACGATAGCTTTTTTAAAGGAATATTAATGTTTAGAGGTTTTCGGAAGACTTTACAAATAAAGGGCAGTATTTACGTGTGTGCCATGGTTTAATCTTCTCTTACCTCTTACAGATGCCTCCTAAAAAGACAGAAGCCCCAAAACAACCTCCATTAATTGGGCGATTTGGAACATCACTGAAAATTGGCATTGTGGGGTTGCCTAATGTCGGGTAAATACCTGCAGGACTAAGTCAAGTGTAATGTAAATATTTTAAATTACAAATGGCCTTAGTTACTTGGGTATTACTGCTGCTTTTCTGACTTTGTTGCAGGAAATCTACATTTTTTAATGTGCTCACCAAAAGCCAAGCTGCTGCAGATAATTTCCCGTTCTGCACCATTGATCCAAATGAGAGCAGGGTGCCAGTTCCCGATGAGCGCTTTGATTACCTGTGCCAGTACCACAAACCAGCCAGGTGTGTTACAGCTGTACAGCATGGTTGTCATCATAGCGAGCATCTGCAGTGCCTTTCAAAAGTAATCCTAGCTTTTGAACGTAACATTTTGACCCATCACAACAACACATTTTGGTGTGTTTTTGTAGATTTTATTGACATGTTCAGACAAAGTAGTGGAAGGAAAAACATAAACAGTTTTCAAAAGAAAAACTGTTCTTTGCAAAATAGCTACATTTTTGTCAGAGTAGAGGAAGAGGACTTTTTGAATTTAAAAATATTCCCACGGATTCAAAATTAGATTTAACTGAACTGAACTTTGACTGGGCCATTATAACACATGAACATGCTGTCTAAACCATCCCATGTTCTGGGTCATCCATTAGTGATGTGGTGATGAAGCTCACCGCTTTATATTCAAGTGCTTAGGTGGCACGTAGTGGTGTCAGGACATATTCAAACATTTTACAAGGAGTTTGCACAAAAAGCTTGAAAATGTCTGTGCGCTGCGCATCAACCGTCCCCAGAAGGTGTGCTGTGACTTCAGCTAAATGAAGCCACTTTGACTCCTTTAATTTTCACTTGGGCAAAGCAAGAAACAAATTCTCAGCATCTTCTGACCAGCTTGTCTTCCCACAGCATGATGCTGCTGCCTCCGGGCTTCACCATGGGGGCGCTGTGATCAGGGTGACGTTTAGTGTTAGTTTTTTTGCCAAACATAATGCTTTGCATATAAATTGAAAATATCAACTTACCATTTTTCGATTATATAAAAAAGACGGCATGATAAATTACGGAAAAGTGGGGATGCTCCACTTAATGCCCGGTCTTGCTGATTGATTTTCGTCTTTCTCTCCTCAGTAAGGTTCCTGCTTTCCTAAATGTGGTGGACATTGCTGGTCTGGTGAAGGGAGCTCATGCAGGGCAGGGACTTGGAAATGCCTTTCTCTCTCATATCAGTGCCTGCGATGCCATTTTCCACATGACCCGTGAGTAGCCAGTTCAGCGCCGTCATTGGCGATTTTTGAGACCATGCCGAAGCCAGTTACACATTTAAAGAGAAGAGAATGAACTTTCATCTAAAAACCACTTGGATTTGTTTTGCTTTATGTATGTAAAAGACGCTTTGGTATGTTTAAGGTGCGTTCGATGATGAGGACATTACCCACGTGGAGGGCAACGTGGACCCAGTGAGAGACATTGAGATCATCCATGAGGAGCTGCGGCTAAAGGATGAGGAAATGATTGATCCCATCATAGACAAGCTGGAGAAAACCGCAGTCAGAGGAGGAGACAAAAAACTAAAACCTGAATACGTAAGAAATGTGGACTGATGACATGTCTGTCTCTGGATGACATTCAAGTTCTTATAGTTCTTCCACTCTCACCGACATGCTGATTTTACTTCCAGGATATCATGCTGAAGGTAAAGAACTGGGTTGTGGAAGAGAAGAAACACGTCCGATTTCACCACGAATGGAATGACAAAGAGGTATTCACATGTGTGCATGCATGCACTTGCATCGAATTACATCTGTTGGTGACTTGCGATGCATTTCTCAGTGTTGAACTCCTCTTTGCAGATTGAGGTGCTGAACAAATACCTGTTTCTGACATCGAAGCCCATGATCTACCTGGTTAATCTCTCTGAGAAGGATTACATTAGAAAAAAAAACAAATGGTATTTCATTTTTGCTTTCTTCGCGTTTTGTTAATTCACTCGTGTATTGCTCTGATCAAACACTGGCTTACGGTTTAAGGTTGGCAAAAATCAAAGAGTGGGTAGACGCCCACGATCCTGGTGCCATGGTCATCCCGCTGAGCGGAGCGGTGGAGGCTAAACTTCAGGAGATGGAAGAGGAGGAGAGGACTAAATACTGCGAGGAACAGAAAACACAGAGGTCAGACTGATGACCACCGCCAGTAGGCTTTGATGTTCAGTTTAAAAGTCAGGTGAAATTGATTTGAACACAAGGTATTGCTTAAAATGATGTGTGCTGTGCATTTGTTTTCACCTCTTCTGAATCAGTACTTTGTAGAACCAGCTTTTGTCGCAATTACAGCTGCAGGGTTATTGTAGACATGTTTTGTCACAGCTTTGTTTCTCTAGGGAATGAAATTTTCTACATTTTTCTTTCCCTGAAACAAATTCTAGTCAGATTGAATAGGGAGGATTTGTGGAGATTATTTTTCTTAAGCCTTCATACAGATTGATTGATTTGTGGGTTTAAACACCACCAGTCCATTCTAGCTCTTGTTGTGTTTCTACAGTTGTTGTCCTGCGGTGCGTTTAGAGAGTTCTCCTTCTTAAAGCAATTTTTAGTTTGACCAAAACGTTTGTGCCTCTTGTGATTACATCAGGCTGTCAGTGATGAAATAACTTTAGTTATTGATCTTTGTGTTTGTTATTTGTAGTCATCACATATATGTTTCTATGCTTTCAGTGTTCTGACCAAAATTATAAAGACAGGCTATGCAGGACTACAGCTGGAGTACTTCTTCACGGCAGGGCCGGATGAGGTCCGAGCGTGGACCATCAGGGTGAGCGCTCTGATATACAGAATGTTACCTTGAACGTCTCATTTGATGACTACTTTCTAAAAGGAAACTGAAAATGGTTCCATTCTCCTTCCTTGTCCCACCTTCCCTTCGTCCCTGTGTCTTACTCCTTTTTGTGATTCCTTCCTTTCCTTCGTCTCCTACTCCATTTGTCTTGTGCTTTTCCTTTCTTCCTCGTTCCTTCCTCATATCTTCCTTCCTCTACACATTTCTTGTCTTTCCATCATTCCTTGTCATTTTTCTGTCCTAATTCTTCTTTCCTCTTGTCTTTACTTTTCTTCATGTCTTTATATCTTTTTTGTCATTCATTCTTGTTCTCTCATTTCACCCAGTAATACTGAGGTTCACCCATAAATTGTGCTGAGCTGCAGTATTTTATGTCTTTAGATGAAGAAAACAAAGGACTGAAAGCTTAGACAGGCGTGACATTTTTAAGAGAAATGTTTAGAAATTGCAGAACCCTGAGGTTTTCAGCGAAAGTCAAAACGGTACAAAATTATGGTACGAGTCGATGCGGTTTGAGATTTTCTTTTGCTGTTCTGCTCCGGCAGAAA